TGTTGCTGCCTTATGATAAACTTCTTTAAATTACTTTTTTCCCACATCAATCTACACTCCATACACCATAATGACAAAGCAAAAACAGAACTGTCACAACTTTGTAAATTTATATGAAAAAATAAAAAAACTGAAATAAGTACGTTGCATAAGTCAAGGCAGTTAACTCAGTACTTAGCTGAAGCACCTTTACAGCCTCAAGTATTTTTGGGTATGATGCGACAAGCTTTGCACATCAGCACTTGGCAATTATCTGCTATTCTTCTCCTCATCTCTTCACCTCTCAAGCTCTGTTAGGTTGGATGGGGGCTGACGCACATTTTCAGGTTTCTCCAGAAATATATGATTGGGTTCAATCCCAGGCTGTGATTGGGTCACTCAAGGACATTCACAGAGTTGTCTGTAAGCCACTCATTGTCCTGTTGGAAGGTGAACCTTCTGCCCAGTCTGAGTTTCTGAATGCTCTGGACTGGGTTTTCATTAAGGCTATCTCAATAATTTGGTGCATTGAGCTTTTCTTCTACTCTGACGAGTCTCTCGGTCCCTGCCGCTGAAAAACAGCCCCACAGCATGAGGCTGCTACCAGCACACTTTACTTTTGGGATGCTACTCTGCAGGTGATGACTGATGAGCAGTGCCTGGTTTCCTTCAAACATGATGCTTAGAATTGAGGTTCATCAGACCAGATAATATTGTTTCTCAGAGTCTGAGGGTCCTTTAGGTGCTTTTGTTTTGGCAAATTCTAAGTGTGTTTTCATGTGTCTTAACTGAAGAGAGGATTGAGCCTTGCCACACCACCATAAAGCCCAGATCGGTGGAGTGTTGCAGTGATGTTTGTCCTTCTGTAAATTTCTCCCATCTCCACATATGATCATGGAGCTCAACTAGAGTGACCATCAGGTTCTTGGTCACCACTCTAACCAAAGCCATTCTCCATCATTTGCTCAGTTTGGCCAGGAGGCCAGCTCTTGGAAGAGACTTGGTTGTTGCAAACATCTTCCATTAAGGGTAACGGAGACCACATGCTTCTGTGAACCTTCAATGAAGCAGAATTTTTTTCTGAACTCTTCCACAGATGTGTGGCTTGACGCAAACCTGTTTCTGAGCTCTACATGCAGTTATTTTGACCTCAGTGCTTGGTTTTTGCTCATGATGCTTAGAATTGAGGTTCATCAGACCAGATAATATTGTTTCTCAGAGTCTGAGGGTCCTTTAGGTGCTTTTGTTTTGGCAAATTCTAAGTGTGTTTTCATGTGTCTTAACTGAAGAGAGGATTGAGCCTTGCCACACCACCATAAAGCCCAGATCGGTGGAGTGTTGCAGTGATGTTTGTCCTTCTGTAAATTTCTCCCATCTCCACATATGATCATGGAGCTCAACTAGAGTGACCATCAGGTTCTTGGTCACCACTCTAACCAAAGCCATTCTCCATCATTTGCTCAGTTTGGCCAGGAGGCCAGCTCTTGGAAGAGACTTGGTTGTTGCAAACATCTTCCATTAAGGGTAACGGAGACCACATGCTTCTGTGAACCTTCAATGAAGCAGAATTTTTTTCTGAACTCTTCCACAGATGTGTGGCTTGACGCAAACCTGTTTCTGAGCTCTACATGCAGTTATTTTGACCTCAGTGCTTGGTTTTTGCTCTAATATGCATTATCAGCTGTTAGACCTTTTATTAAGACGTGTGTGCCTTTCCAAATCATACCCATTCGACTGAATTTGCCACAGGTTAACTTAAAGTGTGGTAACATTTACAAGCAAAATGATTGCTCCTGAGCTAAATTTCAACTGTCCCAGATAAGGGTATGAATACTTACGCAATGGAATCATTTAAGTTTTTCATCTGTAATAAATTTGCAAAGATGTTAAAACCTGTTATTTGCTTTGTCATTATAGTGTATGGAGTGTAGATTGATGTGGGAAAAAAGTAATTTAAAGCAGTTTAACATAAGGCTGCAACATAACAAAACGTGAAAAAATGAGCGTCTGAGCGTGTAATTACCAGATCACATTATTTCCAAGCCTTTAAGTTTCTTCTAAGGCTGTGGGTTTAATGCTCTCTTCACCAGAGTGGTCCGTTCCAATGCTCATGAGATCACTGTGCTCTCTCTCTCTCTGTCAGTACTCCTTTCCTGCCGAGCGCAGGCCTGTTCCTCCCGCACAGAGCATCACTGCACAGTCTCTGCAAAGCAAAACGGTACGCTTTCCCTCTTCTCCACCCACCACCTCCGTCTGTAACTCGCACATCCACAACTTTGCTTTCCTCTCAAACTCTTTGCATTTTTCAGTTGCAAGCCACCAAGGATTCATTGAGGCTTTGGCTTGCAAATGAGCAGAATGTTTTACATGCAGAGGTTGAGCTGCTCATTGAAAGTCAACATGAAATCAAAATGACCACATTTACTTTCATAACACATACTTCTGGTCTACTCGTGCACGATTCATGAGCGCATGTTATTCCAAAGGTAAAAAATGGTCGTTAGTGTTCAAATATGGCTTGACCTGAAAATCTAGCATGTTTTAGCAGTAAAATAGGTTGAAAATGTAATTTCATGTTGACTTTAAAGGTAAACGAATATTCAAATGTTCATGTAGGAGTATTGCATTGCAGTAGAGTAGATTTTTCAAGCTTTAGGTCTTGAATTAAATGCCAGAGAGGATGAGTGTTTGTGTGTGTGTTTATTGTGACAGGTGAAGCACTAATACCATAAGCTCTTCTTAAAACTATAATTATTATTCTCTTACTTGACTTTTCAGGTTCTGGCAATCTTAAGCTGCCTTTTTCCCGCTAAGCTTCTGCTTTTATTTATTAATTTTACAGATGCAAAGTACAACTGGCAGAAATTGTCTGCAGGGAGCGTTTTAATGTAAAAAGCCTGTGGTCACTTGATGAAACATTAATAGAGCTCCTCCATGTGTGTTTTACTCGTCATCGCTGAAAAGCTGCTGTAAAAATGTCTTTCGTTACACTGCATGAAATTCAATTGAGCACTAAACATTTTGGTTTAGGTAAAAGCCTCTTGGAGAGTTTTTATCATCTTTGTTTTTCATGACATAACTTACTTTATTTGGATTAATATAAACCAAGATGAAATGACAGACGTAAAATAATCTAGATCCCAGGGTTATTTTCTTCAGATATCACTTAATTGGATAGCAGAACAAGCTTTTAAGGATAAATTGGCATAAACCTGGGATTTGGTTATGGTTATACATGGTTATGTAGTTTATGGAATTTAACTGAACCTGGTAGAGCTGGTTAGAAATGATGATTAGATATTAGATATTTAATACTACAAATTATTTATTTTATTTACAGATTTTCTACTCCCTGGACCAGTGTCATTTTACTGTTCATATGCTATTATTTTATTCATAATTTTGAATTAACTTTTATATTTAGATTTTTTCATTTTAAAGTTTTATTAATTTTGTTATGCTTAATTGTATATGTATATTTGTATATACACATACATTCTAGTTAGCAGATTTTTACTTTCTATTATTTATATGCTATTTATTTTGTATAGTATTATGTGGTATATAGTGTTTATTCATATTTTATATTAGATTTTATATTTTATTTTATTCAGACTACATTTTAGTAAGTTTGTTGTGCTTGATTTTACATTCTTGAATACAAATGTAAACTTAAAAATGTAATTGAAACTTATTTGTATACTATTATATTATTTATTATTTTAAAACGTGTATTTTTTTATTTTAGTTTATTAATTTTGTGCTGCTTGATTATATATGAATGTTTGTATATACGTACATATAATTTCCAATTATTTATTTACAGATTTTCTACTTCATATTATTTCTACTATTTTAGTATTTATTCATATATTGAATTAGCTTTTATTTTATTTTAATTTTAATTTTAGTTAAAGTTTCAGTAATTTTGTTGTACTCGATTTTCCATTCTTTGAAGCAAACTTAGTTATTTATATACTATTATAGTATTTATTATTATTTTAAAATAACATTTATTTTTATATTTTTAATTTGTTAAATTTGTTAATTTGTTAAAGTGTTAAGTGTGCTTGATTTTCCATTGTTAATAGAAAATTAAAATTCAAACCAGCTTGTAATTAGTTTCTAGCTCGAGAACCCTGTCATTCATGGTTACTAAACTAGTTTATACAACTTAGCTGGTAGAGCTGGTTAATCATGTTGATGAGATATCACAGGTTTATGTCAGTCTATCCAGCGCATGTCCTCTGTATCAAACCATGGCCAGATTTCCCATAACCCCCTTTCACGACGGCCCACACTAACGCTGCTCCTGTCGCCCGCTGCAGCCAGAGGAACTGACCCTGCTGCTCATCAAGCTCCGGCGGCAGCAGGCTGAGCTCAGCAGCCTCCGTGAGCACACGCTCGCTCAGCTGATGCAGCTAAACCTCGATGCCGCCAACCCAAAGGTCAGCCTCGCGGATCGCTAGCCTGTGCATCCCAGAGTGAAGGGCTTGTTAGCTCCCCCGCCAAACCCCGGCCACCCCACAGCCCAGCCTGTCCATTTCCAAGTCTGCTGGTTTTCCCATTGCTTCCGCATGCTGTTGTGGATTGGATGATGTCTAAAGAAATACGTTTCAATGCCAGATTTAGTGCACACTAGCGGTCGAAGGTTTGGAATAATTAAGATTTTTGAATGACATCTTTTATGCTCACCAAGGCTGCATTTAGTAAATAAGTAATCATGTAAAATATTTGACCTTTTAACATAGCTGTTTTCTATGTGAATATATGTTAAAATGTAATTTATTACTTTGATGCAAAGCTGAATTTTCAGCATCATTACTCCAGTCTTCAGTGTCACATGATGCTTCAGAAATCATTCTCATATGCTGATTTACTGCTCAAGAAACATTTCTTACTATTATTAATGTTAAACACGGTTGTGCTGCTTCATCATTTTGCGGAAACTACCATTCAAAGGTAAAAAAAATTATAATAATTCTTATTTATAATTTCCCATTTTTGTTGAAAAAAGCCTTAAAAATTATACTGTATAGATTATGACAGTAAAGACAATTTTAACATTACAAAAGTTTTCTAATTCAAATTAATGTTGTTGTTTCTAAAAAAAAAAAAAAAAAAAAGATTTATAGCCATAACAGTTCCCACAAAAATATTAAGCATTAATTGAGCAGTAAATCAGCATATTAGAATGATTTCTGAAGGATCATGTGACACTGAAGACTGGAGGAATGCTGCTGAAAATTCAGCTTTGATCGCAGGAATAAATTACATTTTAAAACATATCAAAATAGAACGTTATTTTAAATTGTAATAATGTTTCATAATTTTACTGTATTGTTGATCAAATAAATGCAAACGTGGTGAGCCTCTATTCAATAAATCTGAACTATTCCAAACTTTTGACCCGCTGTTTGGAGAAACGTCTCTTCCTTTCCACTAACATGTGAAATCCCTTCAGTCCTGTAGGATTGAATCATGTTTTGTGCAGCTGCTGCATGCGTCTGACGCAGTTTGAGGAACATGATCAGCAGAAGTTGTGTTTCTGTTTGCAGTCCTCTTTTGATAGCTAGATGTTGTCTTTGGTGGACCCTTTTATGTGCAAGAACCTCATTTCTGATTTGCTCTTCAGCTTGCTTCGTCTCGCTCATAAAAGTGCATGATGAACTTGAGGAGAAAGTGGAGTTTGCAGTTGTTGACTTTGAACGGCTTTTTGAGTTTTTTTTCTTTTGCACGTCCCCTGCTCTGAAGCCTACGTCTCTGGTTTTCTCACTGCTCTCCTCTCATCTTCTTTCTCTTGCCGTCTCTAGAGTGAAATCCTTTCCCATCACCTACAGAGGAATCTCATGTACTTGGACAGCCAGGTGAGGGCCTTTCCTGTTTCTCTCTCTCTCATTGTCTTATTTCTCTGGCTACTGTACTTTTATTACAGCGCAGATCAAACGGCCCTCGGTGCATCTGCTGCAGTTCTTTGTTCTGTTGAAGTTCTGTTGAATGCAGATGGTGTCTCTTAAAATAGCGGTTCATTTAAAGCATTTTTAGCAACAAAACATTAGCTGGATTCGTTTGTATTGTTTAGTTTGTCAGGCTCAATTCTCAGTGGTAGCCTGCTGTGAACGTATTGTATTTTTCATTTAACTAGCAGATCACAGCAGTAACCGGTCTATTTTTAAAGGCCTTGCTTGAGGAAGGACATTTCATGTATAACAGCTCTAAGAATTGACAGAATGAATATGTAGACAAGTATTCAGTAACTCATCCCATAAAGCATTATGATGTAGTTGAATATATATGATTACTTTTATATTTTCAATGTCACTCTTAAAGTTTAATAATTGTTATATATTTTTATGTAGCTTTAATTTCTTTAGTTCAGTTTTAGTTTGTCATTTTATTTATTAACTTATTTTAGTTGCAAAGGCAATATTTCTTTTTCTTTTCTTTTGAGGTTGAGTTCAATAATTATATTTTATTTTATTTTTCATGAATGTTGTTGAATAAATCTGTTATATAAATTATAAATATAATTTCTATTTATTTATTTAGAGATTTTCTACTCTCTGGACCGGTCTTAATAGTGTTCATTTTAATATTATAGTATTTATTACCATTTCAAATGAGTTTTTATTAGTATATTTTCAATTTGAATTTTTTTTATATTAATTAATATTTCTATTTCTTTCTTTTTTTTCGTTTAAGTTGAATTTAATATTTAAAAAAAAAAAAATTATGTCAGGTTCGTTTCAGTTACTGAAAATTATTTTTTATGTTTTAGTGTTAGTTAATAGCAAACCAGACTGTTGTAGTTTGAAGTTTTCCTGTAATTCTTACATAATAAGTAATACTAATACAGGATTTTTTTTTTCATTATTATTGTGAAGCACATCTCAGTGAAGACTGCATCTCTGAATAAACATATCTTGGTGGACAGTTTGATGTTTTAAGTTAACCTTTTTGAAAAAAGTCATCTCAGAATAGCATTATTTGAGCAAATGCTCTTCACTTTCTTTGACAGGAACCATTTATTGTCTTTTAACATTGTATTGCATTACTGAAGTGCACACAGTCATTATTCTGGAACAGCGAACAGGAAAAACGCACGAGTAAGGCAGACATGTGATATTTGTGAGGGTCAGAAGCTGTAAAAACACAGTGCTTTGATAATTCCTGTTACTCCTCCTCCTCCTCCTCCTCCTCCTCCTCCTCCTCCTCGTGCACTAGATGAAGGAGAATGAGCCAATAATCTTCATGATTCACACTGTGATTGAGAACTCGGCGCCAAGGCCGCAGCTGTACCAGCAAGTAAGGTCTTGGAACACACGGTTATGCTCCTCCCCTCTCGTGTCATGGGCCCCGCCTCTTTGTTGAAGCTCCACCCCCTCACTGCCCCATCCTGTGTCGGTTTCGCTCCAGCACATCCCATTGGTCCTCCTTGTTGTTGTTGTTTTCTTGTTGAAAGTGGAACTGGTATTGGCATGGCTTGATCGTTCCGTGCGAATCCCAGCTGCTGGTGCTAATGTGCCGTTCATTAGCAATGGCTTCATCCATCACGCCGGCTTTCATGTGTTAGCGCAGACTAGCGTGTGTGACTGGAGACAAGTGTGATTTACCGAGCCTTTTGACCTCCAAAAGAAAAGCATTGCACAGCTTTTATGAGCTTTAAAGGCCCATTCACATCAGAGTTTTAACAATCATTCTGTAAGAATAGAGAAGTCATGACTAAAACTATAACGACACCAATGAACAATATTAGGGGAGTCGTTATTATTGGAAAAAATGACAAAAACATTGACAGCCAATCAAAATCCCACTCAATTACTACTCAAGTATTTAAAGCAACTTACAAAATAATTGTTGTTGGTGTGAACGGGCCTTCAGTAACCAGAAACCCCATGATGTCATGCAAATTGTTCGGTAAGCTTTGGCGGTGCTTCGTAAAGTCAGCGAACAGGTCAAAGTTTAAAGTGTCATGATGCAAACAATTCTGAGTGAATTAAGGATTTATTGGCCATTACAGCTATTTTTTGCAATGGAAGATAATTAATAAACCTTAATTGTTGTCCTTATGACAATGGGATTATGCAGATTTGAGTGAAACTATAATAAAATAATATTGTGTTATAAGCACCAATATATAGTTTGATTAAAAATAGTGCAAAATGCAGTTTTGAATTCATTTTTAATTTAAACTTAATATAGTTATATTTTGTACGTAATATTAATTTTAGTAGCCTTAAATTACAAGACTTAAATGTTTCCATAAATGTATCTTACTAGCCATTGCAACTGTATTGTGAAATAGTTTTATTAAAACTGTATTTTTGTGTGTATTTTATTAGAGTATCACTCTAATAAAATCATACAATAGCTAGATATGTAGCATCATATAAGAGCTAGAAAAACATTAAGATTTTGTACATAAAATATTCATATTTTGTACATATTCATTTTAGTAGCTTAATGTGAAAAATATAGGTGATAATGCATTATGCATAAAGGTTTCAAGTGAAGTGTTCCAAAATATCATAAATGGGGTCAGAAAAGTGAACTTGAATCAGTGGGAAAGCAATTTTATTTTTCTGGCCACATTGGCAGATATTTTTTAAATTATTATTTTAAGCATTAGCATACCTTCTTTTGAAACATATTTCAAAAATGTAGGCTTAAAATCTGTCATTTTGCTTCTCAAGTAAATGTTTTTTGATTCAAGAATATTTAGCTACTTGTGCTGGAAAACAAGACAAAAATACTGAGTAAGGAAATCTTTTTCTGCAGTGTGGATCTATATATATATAAAACGTTCCCGTTTGCTTCCTCCGAACTGTTTGGATGGAGTTTGCATGTTTCATGTGGATTGTATGGTTGGTGTGAGTCCCAGTGCTGCTGTATACAGAGTGACTGTATATAAAGATCCCTGCTGCACAGCACCACACATTTATATTACACCAGCTGCAAGTGTTAGAGGATTTACTGAAGTTACTGTTGCACAAAAGTTCATTATTTAAAGACTAAATTAGTTTTTGCCTTCATTTGACAGCATATTGATGAGTTGCATGTACAGCAGTAGTAAATCAACTGTACACAGGCTCATGTCGCTTCCTCCATCGCTTCATGCGCAGACTAGAGCGGCGTGTAACACTTTCTAGGATTTATTATACAATGCATATCATATCTTACGTTATTTCCTCTCATTTCAGCAGATGAGTCCTGAAGAGTACAGAGAAAACACCTACTCGTACAGACCCGAGGAGCTGGACATCGATGTAAGCTGCCTCTCTTACTGATCGTTTGCATGATTGTATGATTACACTGTGACAAATATTATTTGAGTTTGTGCAAAAAAACTGTTATTTACAGCAATTTATCATTAGGAGGGAAGCTTGAATTATGAAACCTGAAGCATGAATGATTAAACATAAATCAGTTAAAAAATTGCAAATGATTAAACTACTTTTCATGCAAATATAAAATGAAAATATTTATACATTTTAATTTAGTTCAAACATTAAATTCAGTAATTCATATTTTAAAATGTAGTTATTTGTAAAATAACCTGTAACATTTTAACATCTTTTAAAATAGCATTTTTTTCTACTTTTTTTTTCTTGACCATTTTTATTTATTTATTTATTTTTTCATCTTTGCCAGCTAAGTTAAAAATGCTGATGAATAGTCTTCAAGATGTATTTATAGCATGTTAGTGGATGATCATTAATTTATCAAGCTATATTAACAATGTTCGAAGGCATGAATAGAGATGAATGTGAATATGGAATATGGACTAAATATGGAATCATAAAACTTTTACTGAAGTCTGAGAGCAAAGTAAGAATAAATACTGCTCTGTACGTCATTTAAAGCTTTTCAGGGTGCTGAAACATACTCATTATTTTGTCATAATTATTGGTGTTGTCTTTACATTTTGATGTTTCATATGACACCAGGAAGGAAAGACTGGGATTTGATTTGATTTTGATTTTGATTTTGATTTGTTTTGATTTAGATTTTTGTATAATTATTATAATTATTCTACATGCCATTTTTATGACCTCACATTCACTGAAGACTGAATCTTTCTCATTATTACATCATAACCTTCAGAAATCATTATCATATGCTGATTTATTATCAGAATTATCAATGTTGGCAACAGTTGTGGTGGCAAATATTTTTTGGGAAACTGATACTTTTTTCAGGATTCTTTGATGAATAAAAAGTTAAAAAGAACAGCATTTATTCAAAATATAAATCTTTTCTAACAATATAAATCTTTGCTATCACTTCTTATCAATTGAACGCATCCTTGCTGAATAAAAGTTTTAATTTCTTTCAAAAAAAGAAAGAATGAAAATTTACTGACCCCAAACTTTTGAACGATAGTGTATAATGTTAGAAAAGATTTCTATTTTAAATAAATGCTCTTCTTTTTAACTTTTTATTCATCAAAGAATCCTAAAAAAAAGTATCACAGGTTCCAAAAAAATATGAAGCAGCACAACAGTTTCCAGCACTGATAATAAATCAGCATATGATAATGATTTCTGAAGGATCATGTGACACTGAAGACTGGAGTAATGGCTGAGGAAATTCAGCTTTGCATCACGGAAATAAATTATATTTTAAAGTGTATTAAAATAGAAACCATTATTTTATATTGTAATAACATTTTGCCAGATTTCTGTTTTTTTCTGTATTTTTGATCAAATAAATGCAGCCTTGATGAGCATAAGAGACATTAGTCTTACTGATCCCAAACTTTTGAGCGGTAGTGTAACTGGGTATTTTATTTAACTTTTACATCAAATTAAACATTTTATTTTATTCCAAATGATTTTTCCCCAAATTCTTGTTTAATTATTCTTCATGCCATTTTACAAACTCGCATTCATTGGAGACGGAAACGTACCCATTATTCTGTCATAATTATTGGTGTATATTTGTACCGTTACAGGCAAAGTTAAGTCGACTATGTGAGCAGGATAAAGTAGTGAGAAATCAAGCAGAAAAACTGCAGCTGCTCCACAGAGAAAAGGTAGCAAACATGTCCCTCCTCAGCGTCTCGCAGTGGGTTGTGACGGCCGTCTCACTCGTGCATGTGTGTGTTTGCAGCACACGCTGGAGACGGCCTTGCTGTCGGCCAGTCAGGAGATTGAGATGAGCGCTGAAAACCCTGCGGCGGTGCAGAGCGTCATCCAGCAGCGGGACGTCCTGCAGAGCGGCCTGCTCAGCACCTGCAGAGAGGTGTCGCGTGTCAGCGCCGTACGTCCCTCGTTCCGTTTGCTTTGATTGATGCAATGCTACGCGCTCTCAGTCACTCACCAATAATGCTGTGCTGCTGACAGGAGCTGGAGCGGAGCTGGAGGGAGTACGATCGGCTGGAGGCGGACGTCACAATGGCCAAAACGAACCTGCTGGAGCAGCTCGAGGCCCTCGGGAGCCCACAGGTGACGCGTTTGATTGAATACTAGCAGTATGTGAATGTACACTATATTGCCAAAAGTATTGGGACACCTCCTTCTAATGAACAGGTTTGACTACTTCAGTCATTTCCATGAGCACAAATCTTAATGTTTAAGCATATAATGATATTCCAGGGTGCTTCTAATTTTATAGCAACAGTTTGGACAGGACGCTTTTCTCTTCTAACATGACAGTGCCTCTGTGTATAAGGCAAGGTTCAAAAAGAAATGATTGATTGAGTCCGTGTGGAAGAACTTGACCGGTCTGCAGAAAGCCAGCTGGACACCTCCGGAGTGACTTTAAATGCAGACCTTGAGCCAAAAACTCATCACTAAACACCAGTGACTTGTACATACACTATATGGACAAAAGTATTGGCACACCCCCTTCTTTAGAACAGAAAAGGCACTTCCAAAACTGTGGCAACAAAGATGGAAACATAATTCATGTATTTAAAAATCTCTGTTGTGATGAGTTTTTGGCTCAAAAGTAATCAAACCTGTTCATTAGAAGGGGGTGTCCCAATACTTTTGGCATTATAGTGTATATTGAAGATGACTCCAATAGACATTGAGCTGAGGTGCGTGTGTGTCTGTGTGTCTGTGTGTCTGTGTGTCTGTGTGTCT